GCTGGGCTAACTCGTAAATCTGAAGTTTAGCGTCAGTTTACTGGGCTAACAAGCTAACTTGTAAATCCAAGCTCAACAAGTGTCAGTAACATGATCTGTTCCAAATTAATAAGCTCCAGTGTACTGATTCCTTGTCTTTTTGTTGTTTGAGCCTTATTGGCTAATAGCCCCATACTTGGAATTAACCCTATAAAACCTCATGTGCACATCTTGGAGGTGCTCAGAGCTTCGGAGCAGAAGCCCCCCTGAGCCCGCCGGTGTAATAAATCTGAGTACTCCAACCCTCCGGGTGGTGCTTGTTTCTTGGCTGGCCTGTCATTTCCGTAACAATATCTGTTAATGTATTTAAAAACAGTGAATCATATACTTTAAATGTGTGAGTTGCATAGTGTGCAAATTATATCTGAGAAAGCTGTTAAAATTTTAAAATGTAATAAAACAATACTTAGCAAACTAGGCCCCTAAAAGTATGTACTTTTTAAATAAAGGAATGGAGAAAGATATACCATGCTAATGCTAATTAAAAGAAAGCTGGAAAAGTTATATTAATTTCAGAAAAGACATACTTTAAAATGAGAAAAATTATCAAGGATAAAGAAGGGCATTACGTTTTGATAAAGTGATTTCCAAGCAAACAGAACAAATCTTAATATTTATGCACCTAACAACAAAGCATCTAAATACCTAGGGTAAAACTGAAAGAATAACAAGGAGAAATAGAAATCCACTGTAATATTTAAGCCTTTAACATCTCTCTTTCAGTAACAGATTAAAGGCAAGCAGAAAATGGATAGAAATCTGGGTCTCAGAAGTGTCCCTACTACTCAGAGAAGAAAGACCTCTGTAGGTTCCTAGACACAGAAACATTATTGTTTCTGCATTATCTGAGAGCTACCCAAATCAATTCAATTATTTTGGCCCAAGTTGCCTTCCTTTCATACTTCTGAAACTGTGCTGAGATTCATTCAGTTATCATTTTCTTTTGATAGAAGTCTTTCTTGCTGGAAATTTTTTTTTCTCTCTTAAACAGAAAAAGTTTAAATGCTTTAAAAATATTTTCATTTTAAGGTCCATTTTTGTGGGGAAATATTGTTGATCTAGACTACAGAGTCTATATTAGCACTTGAGTCATCTTGAAATCCACATTTTTTTCATAAATTGAGGACCTTCTGAAGTATAACCAATAACTTCACTAGATGGTTGATGTGGTGACTCTTTTAGTTTCACAAACATTGATTGCTAATTATTAAGAGGAAAGTTATAGCTCTGCTAAATAGCCTAACCTGGGTTTAGTGACAATATTCTCTAATATGTCAACATGAATATAAAACAAAACCATGCCTTTATTCTCTATACTGAAAAGATACAGATTGCTATTACTGAGGTTTCTATCTAGTATCTTAAAATATTATTGATAATATTTAAATTCAAATATCTACATTAGTATGAAATACTCTTACTAATATAAAAGTAGGGGAAGAAAAGTTGTGTTTTAGGGTCTCTTTCACCTAAACTTTCTGTTGCTTGAATTTCTTGAGGATTCTGTCACGAATCTTCTTGGTCTTGACACTGTAGACAATGGGGTTCATGAGGGGTGGCACCAGCAAGTAAACATTAGCCATTAGCACATGGACAATTGGGGAAGCATGCTTCCCATAGCGATGGACCATCGATAACCCAATCATTGGTGTATAGAAGGTGAGTACAGCACAAATGTGGGAGATGCAGGTATTGAGGGCTTTCATCCTCTCTGTCTTGGAGGCTATACTCAACACTGTGCCAAGGATGAGAATATAGGAGAGGAGGAGGAGCACTGAATCAAGTCCCATGGAGCAGATGACCACCATGAGGCCATAGATGCTGCTCACTCGACGGCTGGATACAGTTGTCTTTATAAGATCTTGGTGCAGGCAGAAGGGGTAGGAGAGAACATTGACAGGATGATATTGGAGCTTCTTTAGGAGAAAGGAAGCTGGAAAGACCAGAGCCAAAGCCCTTCCAGCAATTACCAAAGCAATCCCAATGATTACATCATTGGTTAGAATGGTTGCATAGCGCAGGGGCTCTCGAATTGCTACCAAGCGGTCAAAGGCCATGGCCAACAGCACAGCTGACTCAATAATTGAGAAAACATGAATGAAGTACATTTGGACCAGGCAAGCATTGAAGGAGATCTCCCGGGCATGGAACCAGAAGACACTGAACATGGTAGGCAAGGTTGTAGTGGATAGGCCCAGGTCAGTAAGTGCCAGCATTGATAGAAAGTAATACATTGGTTGGTGGAGGGAAGGCTCAGTTCTGATGATAAATAGAATGGTAATGTTCCCTGCAATGGAGGCAGAGTAAACCAAGAAGATGGGGAGGGAAATCAAGCCATATCTGCTTTCAAGGCCTGAGAGGCCTGTCAGGAGGAAGCGAGGGTATAGGGCAGAGCTATTGAAGACAGACATTGTGCTGATGGAAGTACCTTCAGTCTAGATGGGGAGACAAGAACATTGGACAATTAGGGTAAATGTCAGTATTGCAAAAAGAAACAATGCTCTGATGCATGCTGCTCTGTTTACTGTTTTCAGTCATGCCTCTGCTCATTATATATAATTACCACCTGTATTACTTTACCAATTATTTTACTCTTTATTGCACATTTATTGAGAACATATTTTCTTAAAGGAAATCTGGTAGTGTTAAAATATAAAGAAATATATAAGAAATGCCTTCAAATATTTACAACCTAGTGGATAGAGAGTGCTAAAATTAAAATAAATCATTAATTTAAGGCAATGTCCTTTAAAACACAGTAAGAGGAAACTAACCTGACCCTGGGAGGTCAGGGAAGATTTACTGAAGGTAATTCTTGAATTAAGTCTCAAATGACAAATATGAGTTAGATAGAAACAAAAGGCTATGTAAGACATTCTGTGCTGATTGACACCCATGTAAATGCAGAGAGATATTAGTATTACAAGTGTAAGTGAATATATTTCAGCAAAGGTATAAGGTAGGGTGGCTCTTCAGATGGTTGTTGGAGCTAAGACTGAATAGAAATGGATCAGAATTTCTGAAGGAACTAATGTATAAATATAAAGTGCTTGGACTTAAATCTTAGAAGACACAAGATAGTCATTCTAACAAAAAGTGAAGTTTTTGATCAGATTTATATTCTATCACTGTCAAACTACAATCAATGTTAAGAATGGTCTAAATGCAGACAACAGAGAAGGCAGTGAAATCCTTTAAGAGGCTGTTAGAGTAATAACTTAAAAACAAAAGGATGAAAGCAAATGTAATAGTGGGTATGATAAAGGATAAATAGACACAAAAGTTATATGGGGAGAAAAAAAAAAACCAAAATAATAGTCATCACATGCTGAGAATGAGAAAAGGAAAGAAACCCAGGACAAGTTATTTGGTAGATTTTGATGCCATTTATTGAAACAAACAAAAATTCAGGAGGACCTGCTTGAAAAGTTGGGGAAGCTAGAGGGTAAGATTAGGATACATTTGAGGTATGTGTGTTGAGAAGCCAGTGGTATACTGGGCTTCATAGAAGGTTGTCAAAAGGGAAGTTACCCCTACTAAGAGAATTTGAAAGGATGCCTCGTAGAGCAAGGAGAGAGAGAGAGAGAAAAAAAATGTTCCTGGGGAAAAAAAATCAAAACTACCACAAAAGGAACTCATGGCATGTTATAAGAAGAGTGTAAGAGCCTCAGTTCTTGGGGCTCAGGTGCTCGAGAGATGGAACGCACTGTAGGCCACACAAGAGGCAGAGTTTACCCGGGGTTGGAGAAGATGAGGCATTGTAGTGGGAACCCTGGAGACTCCCATTACTTAGCAACATGATGGCCATCCAATTCCTGTTACTCTGGGCACCAAACAGCGATAAAATTTTTCACTTAGCATATTTGCCAAAATTCCCAGAGTTTTCCCCAAATTCATAAGGCCCCCAATCTATTTTGTTTCATTAATATATAATTATACTTTATAGTTTCCTCTGACAGACTTTTTTAAAAAACTAATTTCTTAACCCTTCATGGGGATCATGGTAACTTTTCCAGTCTGACACCACTTTTTCTTTCTTTTGAGGAGCTGATTCAGTAGGAAGAGCTCTTTATATATTCTTGTCCTGTGATTTATATACTATACTAATCATCACATAATAGGCAGTACTGGTCTTCATACACCTCCCTTACCTTCATCGCTTTTTTGGTCACAAACTTCTCCTGGTCCCCTTAATCAACATGGAACAATAACTGCCATCACTTTGGCTCTTGCACACAATTATTTTCTTCTTTCTTGATCCCCTTTCTCAAATCTTTGAATACCTTCAGAAACTCCACCCTGCCCAGGTATGCCAGGTCTTCCCCTTTAGATCACTTTCTCCTACTTCTTCATAGAAAAGTCTCTGATATTCATAATCCTTTTTCCATATAGGAGTCTATTGGCTATAGCCATAAGCACTCTGCTTTCGGTGGCTGCTCCTCTAGGGTCACAGAAATTCTGATGATAAATGTCATTCACATCTCCATCACTTTGGAAAGATGAATAAATCTCTTTGAACAAACTAGGAATTGTATTTCTTATTTTATATATATATACACACATATATAATTTATGTAATATTTAAGAGACTTAAGAAAATATATCTAATTTTGTCACAGTGTCTGAGATCTAGGAGATACTTTGGGCTTCAGTGAAGCAAAATGTTAATGGAGATGCTGAAGTAGCCACAATCTTAAGCACATCAGCCCTGTACCACAGTGATCCAAAAGCAGGTATGACCTGGAGTGCCCAAGTTATCACTTGTAAAGATGTTACTCCTCAGGGCTTCTCTTCAGAATTATTTTGCCTAATTCCCTTTTTGGCCTGTAATATTGCTAAGTGTGTATAATTTACTTGAGAGTGAGAGGAGGTATTCAAATCATCATCATCATCTTCATCATTATTTTTAACATTACAGTTTTTAGTTAATATCAGATAGCAGTGATTTCAGAGCCCAGAGGTTTTAATACATGGATTCCCATTATATGTACTATCTATGCCTGGACTTGAGTTTACAGTGGCATCCATCCCAGAACTCTCCTGAGCAGCTTTGAAGAGGATAGTATGGTCCCTTCAGGGAAATGGCAACCCGCACCTCTAACCCATCCCAAAACAGTGATTTCACAAGAGCAATGGTTAGTCCTACCTCATGACTTTCCTTTCTATTTCCTGAATTCTTCAAATATATTGAGTATTAATCTGTTACCCATTCTTTACACCTCAGAAGCCTTCTGTCAGGATAGATAGCCATTTATCCTGCTGTAGGTTGGCTGGGTCTCCAGTCTGCAAACATAGGGTTTCTCGTAGGTAGAGAAACTCACTGAATATGGGCATAAGAGAAGAATCAAAACCACAGTGGATCCTAATGCTGATAGTTCTTCAAGGAACAATGGGTGTGACCAAGTGGGACATCCGTTTCTCCTTCAGCAACTCCAGGGCCAAGATAGGATATTTTTGGGTTCAGCATCTTTGATTCTATCCAGCTAGGTGCTTTATCAGCACTACACTTCTGTGCTTTAACTACTGTAATCTGCATGTCTCCTTTTGACTACTCCATTCCCTCAGGACCAATCTTTTTCTTAATGTGACCTCTAGGGAAGATAAATAATGTCATGGTCATTGGAAGACTGTCTTCTGCTCAGGGAAATGAGGTGATCACGCCAAATTTCCAATCCCAGGGTAATATAAAGGCAAACAGCATGAACTCTAGAACCATGACAGGAAGGAGCAAGGACTGTAGATCTAGAGGCCCTTATCTTTGGATCTCATTCTGGCATTCCTTGACTTTGTAACCTAGGAAACATTACTTAGCCATTTTTGCCTCTGTTTCCTTATGTATACAATGAGTGCATAATAAATTTATCTGTCTCCTATTTTTTTAATGTTAAATGAGTTAGTATATATATAGCATTTAGAATATATTAAACACTGAATAACAAATAATCAGAAATTGATTATCTGTTCCTTTGATACAGATTTGTTATTAAATTATTTATTCATAGTATTCTGCCAGTCTATCAATTCTCTGACCCTATATTTTGTGCCCTGACCTTAAACTGTTTTCAAAAACCCTGGCAAGTATTTTCAAAGAGTACATCAAATTTCGTAGCCATTAAGTAATTAAACAGTAAGACTAATTTCTCTGGGTCTGGTCCCATGACTATCAGGCAGCCTTTTAACCATGATTTAGATTTCCATGTATACTTATTTTCAGAAAGGAAACTCTCTTCCCTTGGGAAGTATGCATCTAGTTTAGAAAAGTTGCATTCCACATATTAATTTAATATGTTGACATTCTAACATATCAAATGGGTTTGGTTTGGGAGAACTAGCTGTCTATCTTATTAGTCATAAAATATTAATAAGACTGATTTTTTCTGAAAAGGTGAAATAGTCTAGGGAAAATATAAATAAGAGAACAAACTGATAATCTGTCTGATATTTTTAAACTCTTTTTTACTTCCGTCTAATTCAGTAAGTCTTAGTTAAATGATTAGTTGCTTTGTTCATTTTTTTCTTGAAGATTACTAATTCCTTATTCCTAGTATTCCAGGATAACATAATTCTCCCAAATCTTGTTTAATATCTTATTTTTCACATATCATTACCATATATTTCCATAGCTACATTCATCTTTCTCTTAAATAAAATTTTATAAGCATTGTTCACTGAGCTGATGAGGGAATGAATAGGGCAATGTTCTATCTCAGAATAAGTTTTCTTTACCAAAAAAAACTAAATGTATTTAAGGAGAGCAGTTGATATTTATTTTATATTTAAGTGTCATCCATACTTAAATTATCTTTAATTAATTCACATTATAAAGGAATTAGGATAGTGTCAATGTATGTATATGTGTGTGTGTGTGTGTGTGTGTATGATAGGAAATCTGGGAAGCTTTCATTTTCCTAACATGATATGTTCACAGGAACACAAGTTCATCATTGATCTTGGTTCAAAGAGTTCACGTGGAGGGTGTGTGAAAGTTGACAATGGAGAGTGATATGGCTTAAAATGTGCGAGTTAATGAAAACTGGTTATTACATGGAAAAGTATTTGAATTTCATATCCTAATACTGAGCATTTCTTAACTCATCTTATTGGCTGTTGGAGTTTGTTTTGTTTCCTGAGTCAATTTGTTTATTGAACATAATACAGGCAGCAGGAAATAGAAACCATGGCTCTTTTCCTCAAGGCACTTTATTTGGCAAAGATCAAACTTTCTCTGAAATAAACTGGTGCTATACATCCAAAATTGGGTATCAAAAAAAAAAGATTAAAAAAAGGCAAACAAATAAATAGAACAGAGAGAAATTTGCATGTGAGACATATTCAAAAGTTCTAACACATAGTGGAGAAGAATAAGAGAAGAGAACAATTTCATTAACTCTTTTAACATTAAGATCATGCATTCCATTTTTTTATACATATAGTATTGAAAATAGTAATTGCTACAATAGGTATTTGATACTTCCCAGTATATTTTTTACTAGATTCATGAATAAGCAATAGTATTTATACTTACAACTATTTATGAGCACTCATGACAGCTGGGGGATACCAGCCCCATAGTGATGTGTTAGAATAGCAGTCATGACCCCATGCTTAAAAAATTTGTAATACAGCTGAAAAGAAAGTGAATATATATAAAATAATAAAATGTCACCAACAAAAGCATATGTGTAAATCATCTTAACGAAGAAGAAAAAAGTAATGGGTTATCAACAATAAAAGAATTGAGAAAGATGATATTAAAGATCCACACAGACATGTGGCACAAGAGGAGAAAATGTTATTAAGAGATGAGGATGGTTATCATGCACAACTCCCAATCTACTCATAGATGAAGACATGAAATCCTGAGCTATAGTACTGAAGAGGAAATCTACACATTTGCCCAGATGTTTAGATATACACTATCAGGCTTTCTTAGGCAATTCCTGTGTGTCTGTCTCAGTATTTGCTGGTGAGTTGAAGAAGCAGATTGATCTACAGTGGCATTGGGAGAAAGAACACATCACCCAGTGATGATGTGAAGACTTATTCCATACCCAACAGGAGAGAAGCAGTTCAAAGTCCTTCTAGGAACTCAAGTTCCAAACTTGCCCTAAGAAGCCAGAAATATTTTCATAAAAAGTTATGACATTTTGGCATGAGAAACAAAATATGGGCAAACGTATTAGAAAAAGAGAAGTTGATTTCTGAGTTTAGGTCATAAACATGAGAAACTATGTAAACATAGTTACATAAGGAAAATATTGCTATTATCATTAATAACAATGCAATAATATTAACAAATTGTACAGTTTTCAAAAACAATCTCTTTTACATACATTGTCTATTGTATGCCTCATAATTATCTTGGGGCTAGAAAAGGCCATACTTACAATTTGGCTATGAAAAAATCTGAATCTCATAAGGATTGATGGTTAACTGAGATCACGTATCTAGGAAGTGAAGAAATTAGACATTTAACCAGATGATCAAGCTTCAGATAGTTTACTTCTCATCTACTCAAACAGCTGCCCTAAGATCTTTTCAGTGGAAAACCTGGAGGATAGAGGTTACTTAAAGCTTCCTCCTTAGTCCAAACTTGCGGAGAATTCCTAGACGAATCTGCTTTGTCCTGACACTGTAGACAACAGGGTTCAGCAATGGGGGGAGAAGCAGATATATGTCAGCCATGAGGATGTGGACAATGGGAGACAAATACTTCCCAAAGCGATGGACCATTGATACCCCAATAACTGGCACAAAGAAGATGAGTACCACGCAGATATGGGATACACATGTGTTGAGTACCTTTAGCTGTTCTTCACGAGATGCAATGCCCAGCACAGCCTTCAGAATCAGGGCATAAGAAAGAAGTATAAAGACTGAATCCACACCCAGTGTGGCAATAACTACACACAGTCCATAAACACTGTTGATGCTGGCATCCGAGCAGGATAGTTTCAGAACATCCTGGTGCAAACAGAAGGCGTGGGAGAGGGCATTGATGTGGCAGTAGTGATACTGTCTCAGTAGCAAAGGTGTGGGCAGTACAACTCCCATGCTTCTTAGCAAGCAGGTCAAACCAATCTTGCCTATTACACTGTTGGTGAGGATGGTGGTGTAGTGCAGTGGACGGCAGATAGCAATGAAACGGTCAAAGGCCATGGCCAGCAGCACTGAGGACTCCAGGAATGTGAATGTATGGATGAAGAAGAGCTGAACATAGCAAACACTTGCCCGAATCTCCCGAGCATCCAAACATAACACAGCAAGCATGGTGGGAAGTGTGGACAAGGACAAACCTAGGTCAGTTAGTGCCAAGATGGAAAGAAAGTAATACATGGGCTGCTGGAGGGAAGACTCTGTCCAAATGACAGAGAGGATGCTAACATTACCAATAAATGCTAACAAGTATGCAAGACAGAATGGGATTGAGAGCCAGGAATGAACATACTCTAGTCCAGGAAAACCCTTCAGAATAAATATAGGCTCCATAGTATCATTGTTACTCCAGACCACCATGGTGACCCTTGGCAAAGAGTGAGAAATATTTTCTGTTAGCCTTTTTTGTCCCTCAGAGTCATCCCTTGTGAGCATAAGTAGAGCAGTCAGGATACATCTTTCCTCTAATCCCGCTGAAGAAGGAAGGAGTTACAGTTCTTAGGTAAGAAACATTTCCCAGTAGTAATGAGCACCAAATTCTAGAGCAAGAGTGTGTACTACAGAAATCTGGTCATTTCTGACAAGAACTTTGATGGCTTTGCATTGAGGACACTAAAAAATTTAAGCAGCAAAAGATAAGAGAAAGAAATCTTTACTATGTATTATAAAATTACAAACAGAGAAAAGTCAGAGTAAATGTCTCTGGATTTGCATAAGCTTCCAGCCAGTAATGTTCTTGAGTTAACCTTGATTGTTTCTAGGCTATCTTTTAATTCCTGACAACAGAATTTGTCCTAAGGACTAAACATAATTTCGCTTCCTACTTATTTAATACTTATACAAACTTATATAATAATTTATAATGTTAAAAATATTTAATATTTTAATAAAATTCAGTACCCATTATATGAAAAGAGGGCATGAAAAAGAATATATATATATATATATCTCATAAGGTCACAATGTAACCATTAAAGCTCTTCCTATCTGCCTGCACACAAAATAATATTAAAATAAAAAATGTATATATTTAGTTTAGACATCTATTATATATTATGTGTCTTAAATTAGTAATAATGTGTAATATATCCACTTCATTTCTATTTATCATTTCTTGCTTATTTTTCTTTCAAAATGAGGCTGATACATAATCACATTTTTAAAAATATTCAATAAAATATTAAACGTTTTTCTAATTTTTATGCCCCTTTGCACCTACCTCCTTGAACCCAAACAATCTCATAAATGCAGCTCTAAGTACTCACCATCAGTGGCTCTCAGAAACAACTAAGTATTTTTTCCCTTTTGAAAATGCAGTTCTAACGTCTGGCTTTACTCTCCTTGAGCAATCTTCATTGTGATTGCCTCTGCTAATGCTGTCCTTGCTGTACCCTGTGTTGATGGCATTGGGCACAGCAGCTAAGCCCTATGGGATTCGCTGTCCCTTCAGTTCTCTGTTTCCTTATGTTAGCTGTGTCCAACCCCATTGACTGTCCTGGAGAAAATTCGTCACTTACCTGCTCCTTTAGTGTCTAGACCTCATTGACTTCAGATACCTTCACTGCAATGTCTCAGCATCTCCCTCATTCTTCCTATAGACACTTAGTCTCTAACCACTAAAAAACTGAAAGTTCTCAGGCTAAACAATCTGTAATTCCAAAGAGGACTTAGACTTAGCATCTGTACCTGAGAAACAGAAGGAAATACCCAGCCATTCTCTCTCTCCATGCAATAAGAAGGATTTGCTGCTTTCTCCCTTTTTCCTCCAGTCTGTCCATCCCCATCTTCTAAGAGTCTTGATGTCTCTCTGGTACTCTTCTCCAGCCCCAAGCAGTCTACACTGAGCTTTCACTGGGACCCCTGGCTTAGATGAAGCAGTCAGCTACTATCTTCTGCATCTGCCAGGCAGAATACTTGCTCAACACATTTATTTTTCTTTACCTCCAAGCAACACTTCTTTCCTAGTCTTCAGAATTTACTAAAGCCCTAGTTGACTTTCTTTGTTTTTATTGATGTATAGTTGGTTTACAATGTTGTGTTAGTTTTGGGTGTACAGCAAAGTGATTCAATTATATATATATATATATATATAATTTTTAGATTATTTTCCATTATAGGTTATTTCAAGATATTGAATATAGTTCCCTGTGCTATACAGTAGGTCCTTGTTTTTTATCTGTTTTATATATGGTAGTGAGTATATGTTAATCCTAAACTCCTAATTTATCCCTCCCCTGCCCCTTTCCCCTTTGGTAATAATAGTTTGTTTTCTATGTCTGTGAGTCTATTTCTGGTTTGTAAATAAGTTCATTTGTGTCATTTTTTTAAGATTCCACCTATAAGAGATATTATATGATATTTGTCTTTCTCTATCTGACTTACTTCACTTAATGTGATCATCTCTAGGTCCATCCATGTTGCTGCAAATGGTATTATTTCATTCTTCTTTATGGCTGAGTAATATTCCAGTGTGTGTGTGTGTGTGTGTGTGTGTGTGTGTGTGTGTGTGTGTATACCACATCTTCCTTATCCTCACCCATAAATTTTGTTCTATTTCCTGTTCAAGTCTCAGCTTATCAAAAGGCTCTAGACATTATCATTGAAGTATACAGAACACATATACACACACAAAGATTAGATTGTGGCCGTATTAGAGAAGTAACTTAATTTTCCCCATGCCAAGAAATCAGTCCATGCATTCTACTTTAATTCTTCTAACCTTAATATAAAACACATTTTCTTTAATTCTCAGAGAAGTTGCAGAAATAAAATGGATCACTGTTTTTTAAAAATGCCTTTCTCCCTGCTCTGAGTCCTCTAAGAGCAGATTTCAGTGTTCAGAAAACTTCAGTGGCAGGCCGGTGCATAGACTTAAAGTTAGGACAGGCAGGAATATCCCTATGTATACTCTCTCTTTCTTATCCTTCTCTCTCACTGACTCAGCTGTTATGTCTTTCACTTTTTCTCAGTCCCTTCATCATTGTCCTTCCTTTCTTCATTCTCTGCTGATGCTGTATCTATGTCATTAACAATGATCTTTGGGGTACTTTGCTTATTTTAATACAATTTAACCACAGTGATGTAAAAAATAAATAGTAGGAAGAGACTAGACTAATGACAAGACTGTTTCAAAGGGCAGAGGCCTGAAAAGACTCATGTAATACGGTTACCTATCCTAAGAAATTGAGAAAGAACCACTGAGGATAAGAAAATCATTTTATTATAGCCCCTCCAGCACCTTACCTGCAGTCCTCAGATACAATCTTTCACTAACTAGCCTATCTTAAAATTGTTGGAAAAGATTGAATTAGGATGTTAAGATATGTCATAAACTTCAAAATTTTTCACCTCTAAAGAGAATGACACCCATATTTCCCTTCTTCATAAATTTGTTGTTCTTTAATGATTTTGCTCTCTTTAGCCCTTGTGTCATAACATAATCTATGCCAAAATCTATCCACTACTTATTAATAATTTAAAAATTAACACCTGAAATTTACTCATAAGTCTGTTTCATCGATATGAATGCCGAATCATGCAACCAATAACCAGTTTCCCAAAGATCCAGTTTCATATTGCCTTTTTCTGCCTACACTGTCCACCATCACAGGTAAAGTTACATTCTGTTTCTGTTTCTGTAGCTTTCTCTCTCTCTCTTTTTGTCACCCCTGCTATTGTTCCTATCTTTCTTCTCATTTCTTTGTACTTCTGTGCATTTAGTTCTTGCTCTCTTTGCTTTATCCCTCACCTGAGAAGAGTTCCCATCTCCATCTGAAGGTCAAACTTGAACTGATTACAGATGCTACAATTTTGATTCTCCATATACCTTAGGTTTTCAAAACCTTTGGTTCCATGGATAGTGAGGCTTAAATGCTTCCATCATCTCTATACATACTCCTGGTTTCTCCTGGGATAGTAAATAAGGGATTGGCATCAGAGTCTTCTGGGTCCCTAGAGATGAAATTAATATAAACAGCCCTTAACCACAGCTGTGCCAAGGGCATAAAATCCCAGAAGTTGAAGAAATGTGTGCCTACTTCTATCTACCACTCCCAGTCCTTTTTTTCAAATGTAATAGTTTTCTCTTCTTGAAAGTGCATCTGAGAGTTCATGACCACAGTCTAATATTCCAGAGGAATAGTGAAATCTCAGCTTCATTGAGGACATCCATATAGAACTATGGCAATTAAGTACATTGATAAGTCCTCCTGTTAGAAGGTGTTTACCATTTCTTGCTGAACAGGGTCATTCATTAGCTGTTTGTTTAATAATCGTATGTTAAGCACCAACAGGATTCAAGTCTCCATACTCAGCTCTATAAAGTAAAAACCATTATCTGGTTCGTCATGACTTGCACTTTGCTCAGTATGGAGATGACTTTCTAGTCCATTCTTTTTCTTAGCTCATATCCACCTCTTTGCATTTATTTATAAATTTTAGAAACAGCTTATCAATTTGCACCAAGATATACATTGGGACTTTTATTGATGATGTACTGAATCTACAGATCAATTTTGGAAGAATTGAGATATCTAATTACCAGATCTTCCAATACAAGATAATGGACCTCAATTAATTAATGTTATTATGTTTTCTCAATATTGTTTTATACTTTTCTGTTATTAAAAAAAATTAATACAGAAAATGCAATTGAATAAAGTTGGGAGACCAGAAGGAGGAGCTCTCACCCCTTGCAATAATAGCAGAGCCCAAGAAGAAGAAAGACTCCTCTCCTTTACTGACAATGACTCAGTCAGTGAAAAGACATGAACTCTGTTTACCATGGCTTCCCAATTTCCTTTTTCTCTCTATAAAAGCACTTTTATTTCCTTACCTTATGAGGACTTGCACATGGCTCACCATGGTTGCAAGACCCCAAATTGCAATTCCCTGCTGATCCCGAATAAACCCATCTTTGCTGGAAGAATAGCTGGCTGACTATTTATTTCAGGTTGTCAACTGAAAAAATATACACAACCTAAACTTAAAAGTTATGTTTTATTTGGCGGACTTTCAGAGGACTCAAGCCCGGGAGGCAGCCTCTCAGATAGCTCTGAGAGACTGCTCCAAAGAAGCAGGGGAGGAGCCAGGCTATATAGGAGTTTTGCCACAAAGGCCAGGTAATCAGAGCATCAGAAGGTTACTGTTAATTAAAGAAAACCAGACATCTCAAATTAAGGAATTTAGTGCTTTTCTATTTATGGGAATGTGCGAAAGTCTTGGCTTCTTGAAATCATTCCTTTGATGTACACCTTAGCTATCTAGGGCCAGTATCCTCTTCTTTCCCATCCTGAGTTCCCTCAGTAGGTGACTGCAGAGGCTGCCTACTGGGCTGCCTGCTTACCTCCATCCTGAGTCCC